GTTAGAGGACCAAGAATATTAATGGCAACCCTTTCAAAAGGAGAACCGACATTATAAATTTGAAGTTGACCATGAGACTTTTTATGGGGACTCTTTTTAGCGAAACAACCTTGGCATTTTTTATACCAAATCTTAACATCTTGTTTGAGAGTTGCCGAGAAAAATCGTTGACGAATTTTCGTAATTGTTTTATTGATTCAAAAAATTACCACCAGAAGGAGAATTATGAGCCTCAAGAATTATTTCATTCACTTTAGCTGGAGTAATGACAACTTGAAAAATGAAATGAAAAAGATTTGGAGCTTCCCAAAGTTTAACTAAAACGCCATTTTTCAATTCTCGAGAATTCCAATACAGTAAATAAATTCTAAAAGTGGAATCAAAATGTGAAACGTCATTAAACTCGAGAATTTTTTTTTCCTGTTTGAATGTAATTAACAAATTCAAAATAGTATCGTCGTTTCGAAATTTAATTCAATCAGAATCATTGTCAATTTCACAAATGACACAAACATATGCTAACTATCACATTTCTCATTAGAATCTGTTTCAATACATTTTTTACAATCACACGGACGCCGAGATAGGCCATCAGCATTATCATGTTTAGGACCAGGTCTATGCTGAACTTCGAAATCATATTGGAATAAGATTTTCAACCAACGGGCTACTTGATCTTAAGGATTTTTGGAAGAAAGTAACCATGTGAAAGAAGCATGATCAGTTCTAATAGTGAACCTCTTGCCAAGAAGAATATGACGAAAATGGTTAACAGAAATAGCAATAGCTAATAATTCTTTCCTAGTACCACAGTAGTTACGTTTACGATTGTTTAAAGTTTTCGTAGAATAAGCAATAACTATTTCATCATAAACATTCTCACAATTTCTATTAACTAGAATTTTTCCAGATAACACAGTACCAATGCCAACATTCAAAGCATCAGTATCACGAATAAAAGGATAATTTGAGTCCGGATAACCTAAAATTGGAATAGAAGTGAAAATTTGTTTTAATTTTTAGAACCTTTGAAAAGCTAAATCATTCCAAATGAAGTCTTCCTTTTCCTGACTAATGAGATATGGAAGTTTTGCAATAGTAGCAACATTGTTGACGAGTTTCCTATAATGAGAACCAAGACTTAGAAAACTTCTAAGTTCAAATTTATTTTGAGGAACGGGCCGATTAATAATGGCAGGAATTTTATCTGGAGAACTTTTAGTACTTCACCAAAAACTACATGTCCAAGGAACTTCTTTTTGGAAAAATATACATTTCTTGGGTCTTACCTTAAGAGAAGGATGTAAAAGTCTTTGAAAAACATTGTAAAGATAAAAAAAATGTTCATTTAGACTTTTACTGAAAATAATTATATTATCCAAATAAACTTCATTTTCAGCGAAAACAACCTTTAAATTAACCATAATATCGGAAATATTAATTTCCACAATCTTGATAAAATTAAAATCAAATTTGTTACCTAGAACTGTAAAAATGGAATAAGAAACTGAAGAATTATTCATAGCAGTTACCTTTTTTTTAAGTAAAGAAGTACTAACAACCGTAATATCAGCAGCAGTATCAACTGTCATGATACATTTTTTACCATTAATTTCCCCTTTAAGTGAAAGTTTTGGTATCGAAGAACCAGAAGAGGAAGAAAAGTCAATTGAATTAATTTTTAGTTTCGACGAAATTTTCTTCTGTATGAAGTCTTACCAGTAGACTTATTAGAATTATGAATATTTAATAAACTAGCTCAAACAGCTTGAAAACCGGACGATTCTTTTCAGAATACCCTTTTTTACCACAAATCCAATATTGAAAAGTTTGCAAAGAATTTTGATACAGAGTTGGACTTAAAGTTACCTTCGAAAGAATTTTAATGATTTTAATTATCTTTTTTGAAATTATTTCTAAAATCATTATTTTCATTAAAACTATCGTTAGTATCGCCATTTGGTTCGTTAAAAGTGTCCGGCCAGAGATCCCAGGGCTCCGACCCACCTGAGAGGATGACCGCTTTCTATATACGAACCGCGAGAATCTCATCCTGACTACGGCAGACTAGTATTGTTCGAAGCCCTGTCAGGAAGCGGTCCCTATTCCCTCCGAGGGCGCCAATCACCAGGACTATCACGTGCGCTATGTATTCGTGATAGACATTTCTCATGGCCTCCATGAGCTCTCTGTAGCGTTCCTGTTTACTCTCTTCTTTTGCACGTATATTTGTTTCAGCCGGGGCGCAATTGCTTACTTAGTAAAAAGAAGATCGCCTAACTGGAGTGCTAATGTCGAGCTTACAGACGAGAGCATCATCAAACATCTGGATGCTGGAGAGTCATACTGATATCTTAGACAGGCGCGATCTCCCTTACAGACCGTGTTTGTCATCAAAGATTCTTTCTGCAGTGAGTGCAAGTGGCGACTTAAGAGAATATGGGGTTCTAAATTATCAGGCCCTAACAAAGTCAAAGCAACGAATATGCTCGCTGTCCCAGTCTTGCTATACTCATTCGGAGTTCGTAAATGGCTCCAAAAAGAACTTAAAGAGTTGGACATTATCACGAGGAAAGTGATGATATCATATCGAAGTTATCACCCGCGATCTTCAGTCCAACGCCTATACTTTTCCCGTGATCTGGGAGGTCGTGGACTACGAAGTTAGAAATGTCTACATGACAGGTTAGTGATAGGACTGGCTTATGACATCTATGAGAGCTTTGATCCTCTTTCAAGTTTGTGAACAGCTTTGAACTACTGGAAAGTGATGCGTTCTGATATAGAACAGCATTTCAGGAAGCGCAACACCTCGGCTCAGTGTTTGACCCTAGCAGCCCAGACGGTCTAATGCTTTTGCAATTGACCAGAGAGCAGCGGAAGGTCAATATAAAAACAACCGAGCAGTTAAAACTGCTCGACGAACATGTGGCAAAGTCCTTACATGGTGTGTTTTACCGTCATCTCGAAACACAGGACTTGTCACACCAGCTGACTTTCCAACACCTTAAGTCAGCTGGCTTGTTCTCTGAGACCGGAGGATTCATTATGGCCTGCTAAGATGGTGTATTTTCCACCCTCGCCTATCAGCGTGACGTTATGCACGAGCAACTCGAGGACACAAGATGCTAAGTTTGCCATGGTAATGTAGATGAGACGATATTTCATGTCGTATTGGGTTGTTCAATATTAGCGCGCTCAGCATACATTCACAGGCATGACGCCGCTCTAAGAGTGCTGTATTACCACCTTCGGTACTCTTATGGAATAGACGAGCCACCAGTACTGCCCTATATGCCCGGTGAAATTGAATCAGTCGTTGAGAACCGGAGAGCAAAAATTTTATAGAATTACCCCCTCTCTACGCCTCAACGCATCGAACACAATAAGCCGGAAATTACTCTTTCCGACCATACCACTACGCACGTGTATTACATTGAGTTATTATTATTGTTAGTAATTCAATTCCTTATCTCTCGAACTAAGTCTTGAGTCTCCTTTCGACTTTCTTTATAACGCTCCTCTAAACGAATTTTATTTCTGTCCAACCTCTTTTCTGATAGATTTAACCTCATCTCTACGGCTAGAATCCTCTGTTAGTACCTACTTCAATACAATCGGCAAATTGAGTTCTCTTTACAGCTCGAGTTTGCCTACGACTTGGACTCTATAGCATGATAATCCAAAAATTCTGCAAAATTCACTAACAAACATATTCACGGCACGCGAGACGAACCACTTTCTGGCACTAATGTAAAATAAATCCAAATAATAACTTCAGATATTAATAGAAAAATGGTAATGCTCATTTAAGATTAACAGCTATAAATTCATTGAAGAAAAGACGTCCTGTCATGTCTTAGTTAAAAACTGGAGGTGAACAAACTATCTTCTCGTTGCTATAAACATCCTAATCGTCAAGCAACGTTAACAACTTATAAAACTGTCGTTAGTTTATTAGTCATTACGTACAAATATTTTACAATATAATAAATTCTCGCCCATCATTCTGAAATCAGTATACCTATTCATTGCATTCTATAATATTTGTTCAAATTGATTCTTTAATTGTCTTTCAGTATCATTTACAGGTGGCTCCATAATTTTTATAGTTTGAAATGTTGATTAAAATTTTTCCTTTTTTTTTTAAACTATATCTGTAAAGTAATAACCACCTTAGGTTCGAGTAATAACTTAATTTTCATTCTATAGGCGGAGAATGCTGACTTTGTGCAGTCAGCTCTTCTTTTTCTCATTTTTAGTATATGAACAACGGCTCGACTTTCTATTCTATCAGTTTTGTTCACATCAAAATTCCTCCAAGCACGTTGATTGTGCTCGAAAACTTGCAGCGAGTGTAAAGAGTGCATCCAATACGCTGGCTTTTTTACACTCAGTGCAGGACCCTCAGCAATCAAATTTCTTCCAATTTTTATAGTTTTCGGAATTTCGCCGAATGGCAGAGGTCTTTTCGCTCTTAAATTTGTTATTTGTCAATTTACTATAACTACAAATACGAAACGTGCTCCCCAAACGCCCTGTCGCAAATAAGCAACGTTAAAAATTCCTTAATTTTCATTTTGATGTCGATTCAATTTTGTATTCTTTAATTATTGTTTATAGGTATTTGTTACGGTCATTAAAAAGTTTTTCTTTGCTATTATCAGTATTGAATTGTAATCTCTATGATTTTATGAAGAAAGATATTATAAATATCTATTTAAATTTTCACGACCGGTTTTTGTAATTTTGTCTCCTCGCTTGATAGTTCGTCATGAGTTTCAACAGATAAAAAAAAAATTTTGATTTCAAAGATTCCAAACTTTGAATGCATTTTTCGTGAAGTCTACCATGTTCAGCTTTTAACTACGGCTTTGAAAGACAATCAAAGAAGCATTTTACTACCTAATATAGACCGTCGGTCCCAATCATTTCTAGTCAATGATTTCGTGCAAGCTGCTCCCGATATTTTTGATTTGAATATATCCTTTCAATTTCAGGTGGAGTGGAAAAATTACTGTACGATCGATTACCATCCCACATTTTAAGTCGTCACGGATTTGTGGGGTGTATTGCGTCACTAGATGTCAGCGGTGAAAGTATTGATCTATTAATCGATGCCGTGGTTCCAAGTACTTTAGTTGAATCTGGATGTAGTAGCTATACTAGTTTCTATGCAACAAAAAGATGTTCTCAAGAAAAATGCTTCAACAATGGCAAATGCATCCAAAAATGGAATAGTATCACATGTGACTGTGATATGACAAGTTTTGTTGGAGAAAAATGTGAAAATGGTAAGTTAAATCATTTAATTTACAACTAATCAGATGGGGAAAATATTTATTCAATTACGACTATTTCGTAAATACGAAAACGGAGACAAACATCCCTAACATCATTCAATATTATGTTACGTGTCGAAACACTTTCTATTAAGTATCTTTTGCTGATGTCAACTAGAGGCTAACACTGTCTATCTAAGAAAAACAAAATTCAAATCATAGCGCATACATTTTTTATGCACTCGTCTAGCAATTTTCAATTTTTATTATATCAACAATAATATTACGTAATGTGCACTAAGTCTCAACATGCACTCCACTCTTCATGTGAAGAGTATGAAACAATTTTTTAAAAATTTTTTCAGCATTTCTTATAGATAAATGCTATCCACAAATGTGTAATTTCTAATTATTTAAAATTTTTTCCAATTCTATTTGTAGGATTTTTATAAACAATTATCAACAGAATGTTGGATTTATTGAAAATTTATTTGTAATATGCTTATCTTTTTTTGTTTACATGAAAAATATTTCCAATAACAATTATTGTTTTTGGGAAATTCATTTTTTAATAATGAGCGATGATTTTCTGAATGATGCATCCGGGAAAATTATAATATTTTTTTTAATTGTCTTTTAAACAATTTTTTTGTCATTACTATTTTTTTTTTTACTTCATCTATTCTTTCCAGTTACTTCATCATTATTACAAACTAGCTGTCACTTATTGATGTTCCTTAAAAATTTTTAATAATTACTAATTGGTAATATAAAATATTTTTTTACATTTCTTTCATTTATTCTGAGTTGCAAATTATTTTTCATAGTTTTTTATAAAAAAAAAAAAAAATTCTACGCACTTTTCTCGTGTATTTGGTCTATTGTACGTCTTATTCAAACAATTTTTACTCAATCTAGAGTATGGTTAAGTTTTTCAAATATTTTATTCTACACGTTGCAACAGTTATCGCTTACGTGACCTTACGCACTGGAAGGCCCAGCCCCTTTACAATTGGAACGTGTAGAATCAAATATTCGAAATTTGCACAAATACTCTATTCATCATCTTCTACAAGAATATATGACCGAAAAATTTTTATTCTTCTTTCATAATCAGTTGTCTATTTTTGTATGCTGTAACGACGAAACCACAGTCACGGCTATCTCTTCCTTCAGTTTTTTGATTTAACCTCTTGTCTTCCTCCTTCATTTCTAATCTTCTTGTAATAGTAACACTGTATAGTCTTCTCGCTTTCGTTGACGTTCTTCCTTTATCGACCTTTCAAACAGGTGTAACATTGTTTATCTTCAGCTCTCTATGAAATTCTAAGCTGTTTGAAATCTATTATATTTCGAAGAGAGCCGGCTAACAACTTTGGTGATAAAAGACAACTCTGAGCTATGTACTGTACTACAAAGTCACGTAGGCCCATTTTTAGTTTGTGATACTTTTGCATGTACATTAACTTCAATGGTTCACTTCTCTGCTCAAGAACAGTGCTCAATTTTAATCTCATTTTCGACGGGACGTCGTTTTCGTTGGAGTTGCATTTCCACTCAGGACTGGCCTTCTTCTTTCACCACTTACCACATCTCTTCCATATGCTACGAAGCCTTGAGTCATCGAAAATTTCCCGGCTTTTACAACACTGACTCAACTAAGCACCTTTCTCAAAAACGTTAATTATTCCTGCAATAATATGCCTGGGCTAATAACCGGATTGTTCAGTGCTAGCATTTTGAACGAATGTGACATATCTTGATCATTTAAAAAATTGTAACATTATTTTTTCGCATTCATCTTTAATACTGTAATGAATGGATTTTTTCACATCCTATATTTATTTTAATTTTAGTTGATAGTCATTATTTTATATGTATATGAAATTGTGTGCTTTGAACAGAAATATTATTATCTTTTAATTGAAAATTGTTTAATACTCAATAGTTAAAAATGAAAGTAAACTCCTTCAATATCGTTCGGTTACTTTTAACAATATTTCAAATTATGAAAGTTATGGAGACACCTGTAGATGATGCTGAAATACAATTGAAGAGTCACGTTAAACAAATACTATGGAATTTTTGGAACGCAACGAACGACTATGCTGATATCGAAATGATGGAAGAGCATTCATTACATTCTGGAGAACCGTATAATGATTGGAAACCAAAAATTTTACAGGACGAAGAATATGCATCTGCAATCCATGAACCAAAAGTGTTTGATAGAGCATGAGTATTGGCAAAATTCATTGTGAAATTCCAGGATGTAAAAATATTGCAATTGTCCGTTGTGCATGTTGTAAAAATCATTGCGTCTTCAACATTTTTACGATAATTGTCCTACATGTAATACGTACAATAAATAAATAACTCATCTTCTTCATTTTAATACAAATCTGAGAAAAAAAGGAATATTCCCTTTGACATCGATTTCTATGTTATTTTTGAAATTGCTGTTCAGACTTTGAGTCGGCTGATTAACAAACAAATACTAAAACGAGCCTCGGTGGGCTGAAAAAGGTTGGATACGAGAAGGTTCAGAGAATAAACTTGCACTAACACACAAGGAATATGGTTTTCTGGAATTATTATTAACAAAAACATTGAACCTATGACTATAGATATGATTAATCACTAATTGTACGTGAGTTTTCCATTAACCGTTCATTTAATTCACTAAACCGAGTCGTCTGCGTAATATAACCACAAAAAAAATCTCAGACCACGTGTAGCGACAGGCACACAATACAGTGGAGTTGTTCGGATGTGTGATATACGTGTGACTGTCCAGGAGGCACTATGGCGTCGACGCCAGCACAGGCGTTAAACGTCGACTTTATACGTTGAAAACAACATAAAAAATAATGAAAAATACCTTTATTTACATATTCATAGAACTTGAGGATCTACATTTTTTTTTATTCAATATAACGAAAAGTCTATAACTCAAAAACTATTAATTATTCGTTAATGGGACCGATTTTAATCGAAAGAGTATAAAAATTTGTGGGATGCATCTCTTTACAATTCTTAAAATGACATCGAAATCGATGCCACAAAAAAATATTCCCTTTTTCCCTAGATTTGTATCAAAACGAAGAAGATAAATTATTTATTTATCGTACGTATTACATATATGACAATAATTGTAAAAATGTTCGAGTCACAATGATTTTTTACACCATGCACAACGGATAATTACAATATTATTACATTCTGGAATTTCACAACGAGACTTACAGTTATTTCCAAAATCGACTGGATTTTTAAATTTATCTGGTTTAATAAATGTATAACTACTTTTAAACCATAAATAACGAAGAAAATTAATATATCGCAGAGACGAGAGTTGATTATGAGTCAGTTATTGTAATTTAATAATATTATTTCTCAAATGTAAATTTACACTTCCAATCCTTATATGATTCTTCCAAATGCAATGAGTTCTCCTCTATCATTTCGATGTCAGTATACCCATTTATTGCATTCAAAAATATTTCTTCAAAGTGATTCTTCAATTGTATATTAGCATCAACAAGTGAAAATTGTTCTTCTTAAAAATAGTTTATCATTGACTGCGATAAGAATTATATCTATTGTTGCCCACGTGACGATAACAAAAAATAATATGTTGACTAATCATAAACTACTCAGTCTCTCATTACGACGTATTTTTTCGGTGATTATTGTGACTCTAAATAAGTAATCAATAACAATCAAAAATTTTTTAATTGCGTTTTTGTTCACTGTCGTTAATGTTATTTTAAAAATTGCAAATCCACGTATTTCGTAAATTTTCATACTTTTTCGATTAAAATTGATCCCATTAAAGAATAATTAATAGTTCTTGAATTGTAGATTTTTTGTTATTTTTAATAAAAAAAAAAAATGTATGTCCACAAGTTTTGTAAATATGTAAGTGAAAGTATTTCTTATTATTTTTTATGTTGTTATTAACGTATAAGGTCGTTTTGGAAAATTTGGATTAGAAATATGTGAAAATCAAAAATCACTTTTATAGGGTGTCAACTTTGGTGGTGCTTTACACCCCTTGAAAACGTTTTTCGGCAGAAAAAAAATAATTCGTAGTTTATCATTTACAACGTAGATAATTAAACAAAATCCTCAGTTAAATCGACGGTGACCACCTCGCGAGGTTTCCTTGTGAGTCAATATGAGTGGTAAGTTGAGCAAAGGCGTGACGTTTCGGCCACGGTTTTCTTTTCTCGATCATTGCGAGTTCTTCGCCAAAATGACTGGCTTGAGTGTGCTGAACCCAGAACATTAACGCTTTGTCAATGTCCACTGCGTTAGTTGGCTACTTGAACGATCATCCGGCTCATTGAGATCTAACCTTAGGTTTGATTATTTGGCTATAAATATCTGCACCAAGTATGATGACAACAGGTCTGGCTACCATGTAGTCTGGATCGGCTAACTGCTAGTCTACAAATTGTGGCAATGGACCAGACGTACCAGAAAATGATGGTAACAACCTAGTGAGATCTTTGAGAATGTAAGTGCCGACGTTGACTGAGTCTGTTGAGTCTCTGGACGTTAATATGAGTACAACTTTTCCCTTTGCCGTAACAGTAGGCGCTGCTCCTACCCAAACGGTATGAGTGTAAGTAGGAGTCAGGAGGTTAGTTAAGCTGGTTGCAAGGGGAACTTGTAAACATTGAGTATTATTAAAGAAGCATAAGGTGAGTGCGATAAGTTATGATCTGTATTAATGGATGCAGATGGGTAATTGGTTCAAGTATATGAGTTTGTAAGTACATGAACACAAGAAAAAGTATTATTGGGCACAGGATACTGGAGAACAGTATTAGAAACTATTGAAGACTGAGTCTGCACCTTGACTAAGCTCGATGTTGAGTTGTCAGTGGAGAAGAACGATGGTGAGTGACATAAAGAGTTGGTGTATAAGTGCAGTTTTTCGTGAATTCTGGTGTTGCTTATTGAATGCGGACTAGCATGAATGTTACGTTGAGAGCGTGTATGCT